TATATTCATGTTCTCTCTCAGCTGTAGAAGAGTCGTGTTAAGTTACTGCTGATAAAAAACACTTCCTGGCTTCATAATAAAAGTGTTTCAATAAAAAAATAACCGCAGATTTTTACTGTGAAAAATGTATATAAAGTTAAATGTGTTTATCATTTTGGATTGGAGATTCGTTAGCGGCTGCTCGCTTCAGTCTTGAGTGCTCTCCTCTGTAAACTCGCAACTCTCTGCCTGTAAAGACACACCTTAGATCAGGTAGCCGTGTTGTTGTTGAACCGGCACGAAGAGTCAAAGAACAACTGAACACCCTGCTGATATTCAGACACATCGGTTGATATATGTGATCACTGTCTGAATAGAAGGAGTGGAGGTTGTGATGTAAAGGACTGTAGTCGTGTTTATCTTGTTTATGGTGACAGAGGAACGAAGACACTTTCTGCTCGACTTTTACCAACAAAAGCTCCAAGTGTTGAGCTAAATCTTGTTTTATTGCTCGTAATTCTTTCTCTTTTTGTGTGTGATTCCTTTTCCGGGCTAATTTCGAGATGAACTCTCCCCTGCCGCCCTGCAGCTGCTCTGCCTTTTCTGTGCGCCATCAAAAGCGTCTCCACTCGGAGCCATTAACAGTAAATAGGGGTGATTTTCCTTCTTGGCCGCTGAGCAGGATATCAATACGACTCCCTCAATTATCGACACGATGCGATGTGCAGCCCAGACAGTGACGGAGGAGGTTTGACCCCCACTAAACCCTCCATCCACCGAGCTCTCTCCACCTGTGGTTTGTGCGGGAGGAGAGGAGCAGAGGAAAAATGATGGAGGCTCCATAATCGTTATCTTTCCTCCGCCGTTACTTAGTGCAGGTAATAGCGTCCCCAGACAGAAGCTCTTTAGCCGATTGTGCCGTCTAATAGAGTCCGGATGGATATGGCCGAGTTTAAAGGCGGAGCCGTTCCCAGTCAAAGTCGCTCCCTGATAGTGTGTTTAATAGCTAAAGGATACAGCCTGTAAGCTTTATAGGAATGTCCCCGTTTCACCCAGATTTGGTTTAAATATATTCCTGCAGAGTTTCAGCTGTTTAAAAGTTGGGGCAGATGCTGGTTTTCATCCACAGGAGGACGCAGAGTAATGCTTTATGTGTTCAACACTCAGCTGATGAACTAACAGACAAAACCAGTAATGTCACCGAGCAGATAATCATTAGAAACACCCTTAAAACTCAACAGGAACAAAATAAAACCCTCTAAAATTGTCTTTGCTAATTTGTCGTGTGTTGTTCGTCATGAACTGGGAAATTAGCTCTAGAGACCAAAACAGTTGTTTGTACCAGGTTGTAAACATGTTTATTTCTGCTGTACAGTTTATTTTAATATGAGGCCTTATGGAGACTCACTGCTGGAGCCTTTAGTGGCCAATAGAGGAACTGCAGGTTTTGGCACTGTTGGAAGTTGCCGTTTGGTGTAAATAAGTTGTTCACAACCTGGAACCCAACATTTCCTTCATTCCTGTGAAAAAGTTTAGTTGTAAAACCAGATAAATTCATTCAACTGAAGAGATTGTTGAAGATGATTTTAAACTAAACTTAAACTAAACTAACTCAGTTTTTAAAGTTAAAAACATTCCTGATCAAGTGACACTGACTTAATTTAAAAGGAATTAATCAAGGATGTCTTTAACGTACAAAATTGAGTTTGTGTAACTTATATGTATCCATGTAAACTGTTTCAACAGAGTTAAAATAACTCAAATAAACTCTAAAGAACTGAACACAATCTGTATTAGAACAAAGTATCGCGAGAATAAAACACTGAATTGGTCTGTAAGTCTGTATGATTGTTAAAATATATATTTATACATTATACAGTTCTTAAAAATATCAGAAACCCCCTGCAGTTATTGTTTATCAGCTGTTCTGTATTCGTTGGATAAAGTTCAGTTTATAGTTCAGTGTACTGGATTATAAATAAGGAAAACATTTGGGAACCGCTGCTCTAAATCTGCACTTGATGGAGGGATGTTGTTTCCTGACTGTATCACCATAGAGACTAAAAACCAGCACGAAGATCAGAGCAGAAAATTCATTAAAAAACACAAATGGATCTCAGGTGGGAGGCAGCGATTAAAACGTCCAGATGTACCAGAATTTCTGGCAATTATGAACTTGTGTTGCACATAAAAAACACACTGATCTCACTACCTCGTGTTGTTTTTGGCTCGTTAAGACTCTCCCCAGATCACCTGAAATGTTTCTTTCCTTTTAATCTCGCATTAACTGACATAATCGCACCCTTCAAAATAAAATACAGTTGCACTGGAAGCCTCTCCCACTAATAACCGAAGCAACAGAAGGCTGATAAGTCAATAAGAATCCATTAAACCTGATATATTTCATCAGCAGGCTGCCTACAGAAACACACAGTCCTTCATAATCAACCAATCAAGTCCTGCAGGAGCTCATCTCAACGAGCAGCTCGGCACGATTATTTCAAATCAAAATTCAAATCACACAGTCGCTGAGCCTCAAACACACACACAGGATGTTCGCCGTATACATGCACACATTAAGAAACACAGGGATCCACCGGCAGAATAAAAACCTTATTGATTCTCTCGTCCTACGCAGGAACGTACTATTATCAGACATAAAAACATTAAAGGCTGAAAGCAGGGAGCCTGACCGAACGCCCACCTGTCCTGGATTGTACAGGATCGAACTGAAAAGGCTCCAAAATGTAACATTTCCTCATTAAACAGTTTATAAACTCTGTTCATGTTGAGTTGTTGCTTTACCTTACAATGTTCAAACACTGTCATTTTATTCAGGTAACGCTGCGTTTCAGAAGCTGACTGCAATGACGAGGGGGGAAATGTTGCTCCGTCCCTGATCCTCCTCTGGAGTTAGTATCAGGGACGGAGGAGCGAGGGCGTGTCGGTCAGACAGTCTGATAACCGCACAGGTCTCTCACTCAACTTAAAAAAGAGAAATGTCCCACAAAGCAACGTTAGAGGACCAAACAACAGTACCGTAGTAACTGTGACTGTCTTTGGAAACTTACATGAGGAAAAAAAATACCACAGCTGTACGTGGAGAAGCGTCTGTCCTCCTGTCTGTCCTCCCGACGCTTCCGTTACATTTCTGCCCGAAAAACAGCGTCTGTCACCGGCGAAAAACTCACAGAGTGTTTGTGATCAAAAATCAAAAATCACCGCGACCGTCAGCCCTACGGACCGAGACATCAGTTTACTTTCACTTTCCAGGATGTTTGGGCTCTGCAGTGATTGGCTCTGGTGCACTCTGGCTATCGTTGACAATGCTAGCGGAATTCGGAAATAATTTATGAAATAATTTGTTAACGGTATCTTTATAGTCCAAACGAAGCCGACGTTGCACACCCTTAAACCACACAGCAGCCACATTGAAACTCTCAGGTCAGTCTGATCCTGATCTGCAGAGATATTTGAGCCACACACAGACACACACACACACAACACACACAGACAGACAGAGATTTCTTGCTTTATAGATAGATGTGGAAAATGGAATTAAACCTGTTGACTGAACAAACGCCTCATCACTGCTTTTGTTTTGAAGGAGTTCGTTCACCAGATTAAAGCAAACTCAAACACAAAGAAACCTTTACTCGCTCATTACAGCTCCACCGGCTGAACACCAGCAGTGACTCAAAGACCACAACCTCTGACTCCAGACGTGAGTCATTCCCAACCAACTGAACATCGTGTACCGCGGGGGCCTTCGGATTCAGAGAGTTATTTTCTTTGTCGGCTGCATCAATCTTGTCTGCGGGAGAAATAAAGGAGCAAAGACAGAAAGGAGGAGACCCCCGGGAGGAGAGACTGGAAGTACTCACAGAATGAAGATGACGACACCAGCAGCCGAAATCAAAAGATTCCCTCGGATGACGGAAGCCAGTTTAATCTCGGATTGGATGGACGGACGGCGGTGTACGATCCACAAGGAGAGCTGGGAAAAAAAGCTCCGGGGGAGAAGTTTTACAAAGAGGAAGTGAAGGTGTCTCTCCAGATTTGGTCCCTTGCTGTCTCTCTCTCTCTCTCTTTTAGTCCCTTTTTTTATCTCACGCTCGGCGTGGAGGGAAAACTTATTGGGAAGGAGGAACCAACGGAGGGGAAGAGTTCTTTGAAGGGAGAAAGGAAATGAAAGTGTGTTTGGAAAATTAACATTCGAGGCAGAAGAAGGAGCTTTCTCCGCCGCCACCGCCGCTTCCTCTGGAGGAAGACGGATCTGGTTTGTGGGCGAGATGAAGGAGGAAACACACAACGGGGGCAGAAAACAAACTCAATTACAGACGGACGGAGATAATGGTGTGTATCGGTGGCACCTGCTCTGCCTCCCTCTTTCTCTTCCTGTCTGCTTTTCCACCTGACTGCCGAGATTAAGGCATATAATCAAATTCTCTTAATTGGGCCCCCGATCGTGGCGACCGGCCAAGAGCGTCTCCTCTCGCTCTCCGTGTGCTTCCCCTTGCCTCGCTTCGCCCGCCACCGCCACAGTGCGGGGAATGACAATGAGTCCTGGAGCACCTGTCAGTCAAGACTCGGGGCTCCTGCAGTCAACTCTACCTGCTGACTCACAACTAGTTGTTATCTTCTGCCGCCGCCCTGATCTCGCCATATCCTCCCCCCCCCCCGCTGCTCCTCCCACCTATCGATTACCCCGGAATGACAGGCGGACCCCGCCTTCCTCACACTGTTTTTTTTCCTCGATCCCTCGCCTCTTCCCTTTGTGTTTGTGTCTAATCTCTCCTGCTCTTCCTGTGTCTAATCCCCATCTAGATCCGCTGTTGCTAATTGGTTTCAGGTGTCTCTGGCGGCGGCGGGAAGGAGAGTGAGGGGGGGCAGGGGAGGGAAAGGGAAGGGGGGGGTGGCGAGGGAAGATTTCACGCCGCCGTCGCCATTAATTAAAAAGATGATTACTCAGAATACAAAGATTAAAGACGAAAATAGGAAGCGGCGAGGCCGATAATAACCTGGTAGCACTTTGTAACTCCTCGCTCAGCTCATCCGGTGTGTGTTTTCTTTCTGTTTCGAGCGGCCGTACATCCAGCAGCTTGTTAAAAATGGCCGCGTTCGGAGGAAAAGTTTCTGCAGGTCGTTGCGGCTACATGGCAGAACGAGCATCACCTCCTGTGAGCCGACATCTCGCAAGATCTGGTAAAAACTCTTTTTTTTAATTGTCCAGTTTACTCAAATGAAATTACATCCACTGCGTCGAGACTCGGTCCTGTTCGGGGGTTTTTTGCATCAGAGCTCCAAAAAAAGCAGAAATCCTTCCAGACAAACACCCAGAATCCTTTTCCTCGCTGTCCTCAGTGCAGCAGCTGGGGACCGCTGGATCTTTGAATGGATGCGGTTGCCATGGCGCCACTGAGGAAGACGTGCTGATTGGCCGAGGGGGCGGTGAGGCTGGTTCAGTAGGGTCACCTGGTGGGCTCACACCTGTGGCATTCTGGGAAATGATGTATGCTGACGCCACGCTGAGGAGGATCTGACGAGATCTGCAGTGACAAGAACACAAGACGAGAGTTTAGTTTTAAATCTTTGATGTTCAGAACTTCAAAGGACAGAAAAACTTAAATTAACTCCAGAAATAAATGAAAATGTTGAGTTTTGTATGAAACTTATGATTTATGGAAATAATGACTCTGAAAGTTGATACGTGGAGATTTTATGTTGTTTAGAAGTTCGGATACAGTGTTGGTGAAACGTTTGAATACTGACGTTAACGTACAAAATGTGACGTAAATAAAGAAAAAAACAATGCAGATAGTTTTGCTATCTTCTATTATTTACATATTTCCTGTAAATAAAATATGATTCAGTTTGATTATATTGTCTGTCAGGTTCCTGGTTCAACCTCCACACCTGCTCCAAGCTGCACACCTGACATCCGTCCAGTAATCAGCGCTGCCGTATATCACCAGCAGATCACAATCACACGCTCTCCTGTTGCCAATGTGGAGATACGAGGTTTCCACTCAATGGATAAAAGCTAAAGATGCTAAATGTTTGTTTGAGGAGATTAAAAGGTGATAAATTATAAAAACACAGAGTGAAGTGAAGCAGATAACTCGGTCATACAGTCGACTTAAAGATAAACAACAAAAGAGGATTATGGGAATCCTGATTTCTTACAGGCAGCCTACACAACAAAAATAAAATTAAGTCGACATGACTGGGGTCGATAAAAGCGTCTAAATGACGAGCGGAAGAACACGGAGGGAAGCAAACAAACCAGAGCAGAGACACAGAAGGAAAATTAAGTCTCGGGGGGGGGAAGTGGGAGGAGGAACAAGGTTTCTGTGGAAAAAAAGAGCGGAAAATAAAAGGAGGAAACACGTTCATGATGTAAAACGAGGTAAGCTCCGCTGCTACCTGTAATAACGACTAATGTGGAGTCTGTGGACACAAACTCTGTTCTCAAATCCAAGTTTTGTTTCTAACAGTCTGAAGGTTCAAAGATTTTAAAACAGAAGTTCAGTTGAAATATTTTTATAATGTCGATGTCTAAAAGAAACTTATATGAAAATGTAGTCTAAACTTTAATTTAAATCTTACATATACAATATTTAAAGCATTAATATATCAGCAAACAGCTGTTCTCTTTATAAAGACACAGAGTCACATGGTGTCTCTCTCCCTCTGCCTGTGTTGTATCGCAGCCTCTCTGTGGTTTGTTTCCATAGCCGGTCTGCTCCGACTGAACCTGCTGTTTTTATCATCTACGTTAGTAAATTAAGGATTTATTTCCACCAAACCAGAGTTGGTGATTGTTGGAAACACTAACAGAGACGGTTTTAATGAGTTTTATTCTGTTAATGTTGAGTTTTTAAGTGTTTTTATTTATCTTTGAGGTAAAATTCTTGTTTTTTTAAATGGAGTCTGGTGGGACATTGCAGCTGTTTCTGGTGCTATAGTGAGACATCTTAACATTTTTCTTTTCCAGATTCCCACTTGAACAATTTAATATTTGTATTTTTCTAACATGATATAATGTAAGAAATATTGAAGAACAATGTCAGTTAGACTAATGTTACTAAACAGCAACTAAATCCCAATTTAACATTGTTTTTTTTCTTCCAATGTCACAACCAATTCCACATTAATGCCTTGAGACTAAATAACATTTAGATAAATAACTAATCAATCAATGAAAATTCAGCCTCAGTGGAGGAGTGCAACACATAAATCAGCATCTTCTATTATAAAGGCAACCCTCGACTCCCCCGACAGCCACATCAATAAACACTCTCCGAATTGAGCTGAAAGGAGGGAGGACCAAACATTTCTGTCAATTTCAGAATCATTTCCTACTGCAGGTACCGTTAATGGAAGAATTCGTCTCTCAGGTTGAGAATCAGCTCTGATGTTCTGACCTTGAGTGAATACAGAGGACAGCAGTGACTGCAGACACTGAAAGCTTCTGTTCTTGTGAGTAAAATCCACAACCAACATCAGTGGAAGTCTTCAGACATCGGTGCATCGCTCTGGCCTCGTGTGTCAGCATCAGGAGCCACGCTGTTATCCTGACCTCTTCCACTCAGCTCTGTCTTTCAGAGGCTGTAGTGGGTTTTAAAGCTAGAGTGAAGATACTGCTATCATAAAAAACTAGATGACCATTGGCACCAACCAGTGTTATGGTAGCATGTTGGGAAGGGAGCTAAATAACGCTCCAAAGTTAGACTCCATTTTGGCGATGGAAAAGCTGCCCTGGCTATTTTAAAAGGGATCCACTGACCTCTGACCTCCAGATATCTGAATGAAAATGGATCAGTGGATAACAACGAGTCTCCCCTTTGCAGACACTTTATGTTAATCCCATGCGGCTGTTTGTCCGTGGTATGAGTAGTTAAAACAAGTCTGGAAACGCTCCCGATCGGCATTAGCTTGAAGTGAACTGCATTTGGATATTGGAGCTGAAACTGTCTGTACGCAGTCGTACTTTACATTCAGACGTTTATACTTCTATACAGAAAGTCGAGGTTTGAAATGTGAGGAATTTGTTTGTCTGTCAGTTTTTAGGTTTCTTTGTAGAGTCGAGTCGATTACTCTAAGACTTCTCTCTTGATTTATGAGCTGAGTAAACAGTTTCCTGATGAGTCTATGGTCTCAATCTCTAGTTTCAATGGTCCCATTTAGAGTAAAATGGACCTTTAGGGCGAGGCTACCTCGTGACTGATCCCATTAAAGGGTCAACCACAGATCTCTGCCTGGGGTCATCTGTACCTGTTTGACCCAAATATGTCAAAAAATGATGTTTAATTTCACACATTGTGGTTTCCTTCCATTAATGCTCCGAGCATAGTAAAAAAAAAAAGCACATATATAATGAATCAGGACGTAAGAAGTGATTACAGGTGAATGTCTTGAGTGTCGAGAGAGAGACGCCCACTCGAGCAAGTGGAGCAATAATTACAGAACAATTTCAGCTTTGGAAACACGCAGTCGTCACACTGTTTGAAATGAGTGTGATTACAGAGATTTAATATCAAACTCTCCTCTGAATTGTAACCTGCACTATCATTAATACCCCAACAGGGAGGACAACGAGCTGTTCAACAGAAAACGGGGACAAAATGATTCTACGGAGGAGGAAATATGCCGCGGAGTAACTTGTTGCATAATACCACCTGTAGCATTCGCTGTGCTGCATGACGGCTGCAGCAAATAACTGGAAATGTCAAACTGAGTGTTCCTTTTCAGGCCTGCAGACACACTTCCAGTTCACAATGAAAGAACATTTCGAATATTTTTGGACCGGATATTGAAGATTGTGTGGGTGAGCAGCAGAAACTCATAGTGGAGCGCTGAAGGCTGCAGGATCGAGGTTCACGTGTTCAGTATCGGTGCAACAAACTCACTTTAATGGACATTTAGGAGAATGGGAAGGGAACTTAAGATCTACAGGATGAACAAAGGACAACAGAGTTTATTCATCAAGGTCTCACATATATCAATAAAACCTGATAGGTTCAACTCAAACTGTTGAAGCATTAAAGGTTATTTGATCTGAGTAGAAGTAACTCAAGTATTTGTTAAGGTAACTTGGATAAATTAAGTTAATTGAAGTTAGACTCGTAGCATTTCTCCAAACTTATTTAAAATGTGTGAACTCAACTTAATTTTTCTTTATACAAATGTTGAATTTAGTCAGTTTTCTTCTACTAAAACAAATTATTACATTACCTGTCAAAACAGCTGACATACAATAAAGATAAATAATTTAGTGATTATCAGTCAATTAGTTTTATGTGACAAACATCAAATCTTTAAACTTCCACAACAATTAAATTGCTGCACACATTAGTTAATTCAAAACTGAGTTACTTTAATAATTCATTTTTGGGTTGGGTTTAATTCATGTGACTAATTTTCTGGATTAATTTATGTTAACTTATTATTAAATTATTTTATTAAGATATGTTGTCAATGTTTTACAATGTGTATAAAGATATCATTTATTTTATCAGTAATCGTATCGGCTGAAAGAAAAATCCACAGTGTGCGTCAATAAATCTGATATAGTTACTAATTACCTGTTAAATGTATAACAATACAAACTTTGTACCACTGGATTCAAAACAACTTCAATTTCAATAAAATGTCTTTTGATTTGATGTAAATCTGATATTTAACACAACAAATGACGTTTTTAATGTTTTTTTGCATTTTTTAAATAAAATCATCATTAAGGTACGATAAATACGTGAAGCCACATCTCTCGACAGTTTCCACAGCAGATTCAGTGTTTCCACCTCCAACAGAAAAACGTTCATTAATGGGTTACAGGGTTAGTGTGAGGCTGAAAATGTGAAGGTTGTCCCGAGGGAGGCAGAGCGTCTGCATCCCAGCCGGCAGCTCCTTCAGGCTGAACTCACCACAGTGCACTGACCCAAATGCTAATGCTAGCATGCTAACAGGGTCACCATTACAATGCTTGTCAGATATAATGTTCAACATCTTAGTTAAGCATGTTAGCTGTCTGTAGATTTAAACATCTTGGTCCTCTGCACGTCCAGGGAATCTTAGGAAGGCGTTCTCAGACATAAAGACGTAAGTGAAGGTTTGTGATTCACATTCAGGTAAAGTAGACAGCGTGCATTCAAACGCAGTCACATTGTAGAGACGCCAACGCAGTAATGGTTTTGTTCAGATGTTCGATACGTCTCCGGATTCGTGTATAAAGAGCGAGAGTCTGCACACAAGGGGCGGATGGTGGGTCAGATACAGGACTTTCACCCAGGAGACTGAGGTTCGTGTCCCATGAGAAACTAGTCGCCTGAATCCGACTGTGGTGGTTTCACATCAACGGCGTCTCATTCAGACGCTGAAGGTTGTGTGTCGGTACGAGAGGCCGAGAGGATAAAGCATCACAACGTGTAGATTGAACAGAAACCTCAAGATTAAAGTTGAATGTAAAAGCAAACATAATAATGTAAATCTGGTTGATGGGATGTCTCACTGCGTCTGACGGACAGGAGACTTACAGTAAATGTCA